CGCGCGCGCGAGGATCTCGACGAGAGCGGACCGGAGCGCGTCGTCGTCGGCGACGCGACGCGCGACGGGCGCGAGCGCGCCGACGCCGTCGCGCGCGCGCGCGCCGTCGTCGGCGCCCGCGACGAGGAAATCGCGCGCGGCGAGGAGCGCGCCCGCCGCGACGGGCGCGTCGCGGTCGCCCTCCGCCGGCCGCCCGAAGAGGGGCCCCGGGTCGCCCAGCTCGAGCCCCACGATCCGCCCGAGCTCCAACCCGACCTCGACGCCGAGGTAGTCCAGCGCGTCCGCCAGGTCGTCCACCAGGTGATCCCGGACCGCCTCCGCGTCGTCGCTCCCTAAAAACGTCACCAAAACGTCCGCGGCCGCGGCCGCGTCGTAGCCGTCGGACGACGACGCGCGCCCGATCAGCGCCTCGAAGCGCGTCCACTGGGGCCGGTCCCGCTGGAACAGTAAATTCTTCAGCGCGGCCCGCAGCTCCGGCGCCTCGTCCGTCAGCAACCGCGCCGCGATGTAGGGGTACGCGTCCGACACGATGCGGAAGCCCGGGTCGACCTGGATCGCCACGCCCTCCAGCACGCCCAGGCACCGGATGATGGCGATGTAGAAGGGCGGCAGCGCGAAGGGGAAGGTGTAGAAGACGTCGCCGAGCTTGTTGATCACGTTCTTGACGTTTAGTTCGGACACGGGCGCGTCGAGCACGTCCGGCAGCGCCTCCTGGAGGCCGCGCACGATGGGCTCGACGTCCGTGCCCGCGGGGATGAAGCCCATGCGCTCGTAGAGCGCCGCGAGCGCCTCGAAGTCCCGGTTCACGAGGTGGACCACCGCCTCGATGATACTGACGCGCTGGCGCCGGTCGAGGTACGACATCATGCCAAAGTCGAGGTAGCACAGCTGGCCGTCGGCCGTCGCCAGTAAATTCCCCGCGTGGGGGTCCGCGTGGAAGTAGCCGCTCTCGAGCATCTGGCGCAGCGAGCACTGCACCAACGCGTCCACCAAACGCCCCGGCCTGTGTGCAAATCAACCAGTGAGCTGGGACGTCGGGGCCAAACTTCAGAATTCGGGGATCCTCAGAGC